ATTTCAAAATTCCCTGACTATTCCCTGATTTTTCCTTTTAAAAAAAAACATTTCCTTGACCAAATTAATACGAAATGCCAGATATAGTATACAGCAGCCTCCAGCCTCCCTTTACAGCCGTCCTTTCCATCCATTCATCTTAGTTCTTCCAGCCTTCAATGGGTTTAAATCAGCGGTGTTATAATTTCAATTTTCTTGGGTTTTTCTTCCAAATTTCAATTTTCCCTGACACAGAATAAAGTTCTCTGACTTATAATTATCCCTGACCTGGAAGAATTTTATTCCCTGACTATTTCCTGACCCTTGACCACCCTGCTCTTCACTGATAGGCTAGCTCCCGAGGAGAACATGGGAAGCGACGGGAAGTAGAGAGTATTCCCGTCATGCACCGCGCGCCTTGTCCTCTCTCTAGCTCTCTTTCTCTTCTCCTCGCGCTTCTAGGCTATGCGATTGCAATAGTATGTTTACTCTGCTGTAATTGTGTTCTAACAATCTTTACCTGAAGCTTGAGGAAATCAAGCTTGTATCCAGTCTTGTGTTCAAGTGTACTATCATTTGATAGCTTGTGACATCCTCATTAGAGTAGAAGTTTTTGAGTCATGGTCGGCTTCTGGAAATTGAATTTTCTCTTTTCTGCATCTTGTCATGGACTCTTCCTGAGATTAAAAAAGAACTCGTCAAATTATTTCCAGATTACATCTAGACTATTTGAGGCTGTCAAATGGTGGAGAGCCAGCGAAATATAAAGGCGTTCGCCCTCAGATTATTTCATTCAATTGCCTAGTTTAAAGCTTCTCCGGGTTCAACATACTAAGCTTATACATCGCGACAGTTAGTTTGGCAGTAATCAGGAGGCTGGTCTACGATAGGGCATGACTTTTGATTAATCTCATCGAAAAAAGAAGAGAAAAATTTTATTCATTTTATTTTACCTAGCTTATTTCTGTAACATGACGCGGTTGGAGTATTGTTAATTCCCCTGCCATAGATAAGATGCTAGTCCTCCGCAGGTCCTCCCCCTCCCCAATATTTGGTCAGTTAAGCCTCATATATTGACCTCTGTGTAGTTGAAGCAAGGCTTTAGAGCAGTTTACAAACCAAACCCAGAGGAATCACTCTAGCCAATCACAAAGGACACAGACATTCTAGTGAACAACCAAAACTTAGAGCAAATACATTAAGCGCGGGAAAACGTGTGCGAGCGAGCCACGCTTGGTTTTGCTTTAACTTCTGACTGGATGACAAAGCGGCGCGAGTTTTTTTAAGCCAATCACGCAAGGTAATGATGTAAAACCAAAGCAAATGCGATGTGTTGTTTTCGACATTTGTTGTTGAATTTCTTTCGACACTGCTCTAGGAGAATGAATTGTATTGCTCGAGGACAAAACGCAAGGACGTTAGCCTTGAATCCAAACGCACTAAATTAGGTAACCACGCCTCCCTGATCCACCTCTTGCGGGTCAGAGAGCAGCTCTCGTAAGGTCTCACGTGAATGTCTTGATACTCTTTGAGGGGACAACAGAACAAATAACAGAAGCAATGCCTCTAACCCTAAAACAAAAACAGATGCTGCACCATGACGACAAGCAAAATAATTACAAACTTTCGAGGGCTGCTGCTCTTCCGCTTTTCGCACGACAACTAGGCTTTTGTATATTATGCTTTTGTTTCCCCACTAAATTGGTCCACTTCCATGCTCCATTTTCCCACTAAAAGGCGTGGTACCGTCCCCCCAAAAAGGAAATAAAATGCTCGGTTAATGCTCATACATGGGTTTTTTTTTATCACAAAGGTGATTTGACAAACATGGCCGCCTTTAGTGTGATTTGACTACCGCTGACCTCTCCTCAGTCTCCACTCAGCTGTATTAGGGTATTAGACGTATTTCCGGCAGTCACTTGGTTCCGCCGAAAATAACGTCGTTATTTTCGGCGGAACCAAGTGACAGCCGGAAATACGTCTGCATTCGCAGGCTATGCTTAATGCTTTAGCCTGACTAAAATGCTCTAAAAAATGCCAGCATAATGTACAAAACCCTAACGACAACAGCAATAACAACTAATACTGCTTTGATAACAAAGAACAGTTCCCACGCTTCATTGGATTAACCAACCGTGCTATGACGCAAAACATTAAGGAGTTGTCGAAGTATATCGTCATGCATCCACTAATCCTTACTAAGCGGAAATTGAATAATCGGCGATAAGTCAATTTATGGTTATTATACCCCCGCGACAATCACCACAACAAATGCGGGCGCTTCATGACAATGCATAAACCGTGGGAAGGGCGGGAAAATATAATGCTGTGGATTTATCTGGAAATGCAAATAACAAGTTAACATTAGCATGTCAGCGAAGTTTCGGCGCCAAAAATAGATTGAATTTTCCTGGAATTTTGACGAACTACGAACCTTCTAGAGTGTTTATATTCGGTTGGGTGCGTTCTTATCGAAAGATTTGCTCTCTTTCTATACAAGTGCATTACTGAAGCACTAAGTACTAAAAATTAAAGTTTTGTCATTTATCATTTCTTCAAATTCATTTTAAGGCTTTTTTGAAGCTTTGGATCGTGGGAGATGATGATCAAATACACTTCAGTGTCTAAAGAAAGTTTTCTAGTAAACAAATAAGTTGTTAAACGCAACTTAGTTACTAAAGTTTTCGTTCAAGTGTTTTTTGATCGTCACAGTTGATATTGTTTTAGCAAGCATAAATTATGACAAGGCGTTTATCAGGAAATAGTAGCGAAATAGATTCACCTCTTGGCTAAGTAATGCTTTGATAAAAGTATTTATTATATAGGTTTTGCATACATAATGTGTTCTTCGCAACGAATTTAGGCTAGAGAAGCAAAGAAAGATTGAAATAAAATTTCGGCGTTATCTTGGACTCCCAGCTTCTAACTTGAAGATAATGTCGTGATCAATTAATGCGATGCCATCTATCACGTCTGTGAATGAAAGCCTTGTGTAACCATTCTAATTAGGACTATTTAACATTAATACTCATACTTGAGCAGTACTCTCATATGACACTGTTTACTATGCTGTTCGGCTTTAACGTCCGTGGACGCACTGATTTAATAAACCCCAAGAAGTCCACAAAAACGCAAATGAATGCTGGCGAGCAGCACTTTTATGTGGTGGTTGCGTAAATGGAATATTAATAAGTCTTAGAGCAACTAGAAGGTCACGAAAGCTTAGGAGAACTTTGTTCGTTGAACCTGAACTTAAGGCAATGAAAGCTTTCTATAATTATTTGAGTGTTGGTACGCACCTTTTATCAGACTTAATGAAAACAGCACTGCATTGTGTTGACTAAAATAATGTTGCTAAAAGCTACCGTGACTGTAATCGGATAAATGTGAAACTGTTGAGATAAAATATCAAATATAGTATTTAAAAGAAACAAATTACGCAATATGTAAGATTAATTAAGACATGTATGCTCTTTGTACTTAAAAATCACAGCTGAATGACATGGCATTAATTATTTGCATCTTAGCAATGACATCTACGGCAATACACTCTTTGAAGCATTAAAGATGATCACGCAACTTTGATTTAATTGCAATTTCTCCTAAACGTATCGATACATTGCTTAGCAGACAGGTGATGAGAAAAAAGAATTTCATCAATAAGGTGATATTGCCTTGATGTACCACTGAATTCTCATAACCACCAATAAAAGGCAAGTATGAGCGTCATTAAGGAGAGTGTGGGACTTAATCGGAACTGATCAAGGTTCACTGGCTAGGAACGACTCAACGTCGCGTGGTTTTTGCGGTAAAACCAGGAAACTTGTAAACACGAAAACAGCCCAAAGGAAGTTTCACAAATTTATTGATTTCTCATATCACTGAAATTGCAAATAATCAATAGTTGACAATGCTTGAAATGATTCTTGTTATGTACATCATATTTGTATCACTTGTTTAGTCATATGACTATATTATATGATAGTTCTGTTCAGTACTCTTTTAATATACAAATAAAATTATCTTGCACATGCGTGGAAAACTGTGTAAATGTTCCTCCACTACCTCCTCCCGGGAGAGTTGTCTCTATTATATAGGCCATGTATTTACTCCATGACAATCTCTAACAATCTGCCAAAAATATCCACACATTTTTCACAAACGTTTTAATTTAAAACTCACATCCTCTGTAAAACGTGTACTTTTATGGCATTATTCTTCAGATATATATTAACATGTTAGGTATACTTGAGAGCGTGGTCCAATATTAACCCTAAATACGACTTCATTGCCGTTTTTAAAAAGTCTGTTTTGAAAGTTTGATTCGACTCTGTTGCTCAATTGTTGTTCTTCAAGTGTATAAAAAATAGCTTTTTTTTCTGAAGTTCTAGAGTTTTAATGATACTGATATATCTCCTCCAAAAATGAAGACTACAGCAGGTTTCTATTCAATAGAGGCACTGTATTTTCAAGTCAGTAATACGGACGCTCTATCGTCGACGTCGTTTCAGTTATTTCTTCCTTCCGCTAAGGAAGTAAAACTCTCTTCAACCTTTGAATCTCGATGGAAAGAACTGATGTGCTTATAATAAACTTTCAAAGCTTGCGTATGAAATCCCTAGTGTACGACCATTCAAACGAAGTACTCTTTGTGGTGTTGTGGCCACTATCTTCTTAGAAGCGAAGAGCTAAAATACTTATGGAACTACGTACGTAAAGAAAGTATCTAAAAATGGGCTTGAATCATTATTAAACATGAACAGAGTGTATATATGTATACTAATTAGAACTTTTCAGCCACATGTGCTCAAGATTTGGCTGCTTGCCGATTATTTTAATGTTAGTACTTCTGATTGTTATTCGACAACTACATATCGTCCATTTACCTGCTTAGAATATTCAACTACAAATATAAATTATCTTCGCCAAGGGCAAGGTATTTACAATATCCTTCTTGAAAGTCATGCTTCCTGAGCAAACATTCGAAAGCGCCTGTTACCTGCTGTTAACAGAGAAAGCGCTTGCACCATTTTTTTGTCCTTGTTGTCCATTGCGATCTCCACAGGCGTAAGTCCTTCTTTGGTATAAGCTTGCAAGCTCGCTCCGTTCTTTATGAGAAAAATCACAGCTCTTATATCGCCTCCGCAGACAGCGGCGTGTAGAGGAGTCCATCCCTCTTTGTCTCTTATGTCCACCGGAGTGCCGAACTTTAAAAACACTTCTAAACACCGAACTTTGCCTTGAAAGGCAGCCTCGTGCATGGCGGTTCCACCGCTGGCGTTTAAAGTGTCTAACATGATGTTCCCAGCACTTAAAATGCCGTGGAGCAAACGGGAATCGTTGCTCGCAACCGCAGCGTCCAAAGCATAGGATGGATTCAAAAGGCCTTCATCGTGTGTGTAATTGTTGTTTATATCCAGTTCATCGTGTTCGTCTTTAACACAATCTATGACTATCGTTGGCGGGGCGGAGTGCTCTGCGGGTGTTGTGTGTCGTCTATTGTAATGGTAGCCAAGATTGTATAAGTTCGGAATCGAAAGATTACCCGCAGAACCACATCTCCGAAGCTTTTCTTTCTTCCGTTTGTCGATGTATCTTCGCTTGCCTGCAGCTAGGTTGCTTGTGGCAATTTCCATTTCTGCTTGAGACAAAAACTTAATGAACACGTTGACGAGTTTCGCTGTGTTTTCAACTCCGTTCTTCAGTTGTTACCAATTTACTTAAGGCTGACCCAAGTTATTGGCGCGCTAATGTAGAGTCGCGGGAAGGCAAGTGCTTTCCTCCCTCGCTGCTAGTCGAAAATGACAAATTAATCGTACTGCAATCTCTTGTACTGTGGCGTCTTGAGCTAAATATATACTTTTCAAGTGCCGAGTGCCGTCAGATGACGAACAACCAACCTCCAGGGTCACAACATAACATTAATCTATGTGGTAATCCATCTAAATGCAGCATTTAATGCTCATGCCTTAATGACCCCTTCAGGGGGTGATTACGATATTAGCATTTTTACAAAGGAATTGGTCGGCCCCCTCTTTTGTTTGATATTCACGTCAGTTCAACAGTCATTTACAAGAGAGATTAACGAGCGAGCGCCAAGGACAAAGAAACTCCAAGCGAAAATATTGTGCTTTGAAATTGCCTTTGTACATGCTAATTGCCCCTCGTGTGGTAGTGTGTTTGAATAAACTACAGACGAACAACATCGCTAAAATTGTCGTTACTTGGAGCGGCAGTGCTTACTGATTTTTGCTTTGTTTTTTCGTTCGCCAGTCTCTTGTTCGCTTGAAAGTGCAAATAAACTTTCAAAAGTAGTTTGTTTTTAGTTTCACTAGTGGCATGGCCTTTCTGTTGCCCTTGTAATTTCAATTCCATTAAGCCGAATTTGCTTTCCCAGGAATTCAATTAACTTGCCTTCTTGCAAATACGGCTTTGGTTTTCTCGTGCTACACGGCAGATAAGTGAAGCATTTTCTTTTGTTATGCCACTCTGTTGTTTCCGGATCGTAAAAAGTAAACAGCGAAAGTAAACAGCTATGCAAGACACTGTATTATTTTAAAAGAAATTATACAAACTGCAGTCAAGTACTTGGACCGAATTGTAAAAGTATAGGTACATTATCCAGGGAGTCGAGACATCTTGACAGAAGTAGTTACTCCTCAGGCAAAACAATAAATCTGCTTCTACAAGGTCACGTATTAAATCTTACTTCTTAGAGAAAATCTAATGAAAAAAATCCCTTCTTAAAATAGCATTTTTGTTGCACTGCGCACTGTTTACATGCAGCTATTTCGGTTTGTAAAGGAAAACACTCGTTTACGTAAAAAGTAAGATCCCTCTTCCTGGGTAAATCCCATGTGCAAATCTTTTGCTAAAAATAGCATTTTGCTGCGCTTATTTCGGTGTTGTGTTTACACACCAGCCAGTTTGGTTTACTGAAGACTACAGTCATGTACGTAAAAGGAAAGTTCTCTCTTCCTAGATAAATCCGTTGTACAAATCCCCTGCTAAAAAAACTTTTCGCTGAGCCCTTTTTCAGCACGTATGTTGACACGTCAATCATTTTGGCTTACAACAAAATGCATGTACACCAATTTTAGCGGATCTCAAGTAATCGCAAAACCCGACATTTTCACACGTTTTCCGCGGATTTTTTTGTTGACCCTAATTAAAGGTCTTGCCCCTGTTAACAGACAGACAATTTACCTTGTCAAGATGACGAGTCAGAATGAAAACATTTCAGACAAGACTGAATGTATTTCTTCCTATGACACACAAAGGTGGTCAAAAGTAGATCGTGCGCGCCTCGCCGCCAATTTTTGCGCGTCAATCTTTTTTCACCGCTCTCTTTTTGGTTTCTCCGCCTACAGTTTGAAAAAACCTAAGGAAATTCTAAGCAGCGCACAAGTTATGCAAATTTCAATATAAATCTGATATCAAAGAACTCTCGAGTTGATTAGTAATTTCTATTAACAGTCGAGAAAAACCGCAGCTATAGATTTTGGACGCCTTGTCAGATTGAAATGTCAGACCGTCTGCTAAATATTGTGTTGTACAGCCTTACAAGCAGCAATCACAAACCAACGTAAATTAATGCCAAAATAGCATATGACGAAACGACAGCAGCCTGTTAAGAAAATGAATGACAAAGGCCTTTGTCTTTCCTAAACTTTTTAAAAGTCTACAATGTTTAGTTAAGTGGCGTTACTACATGTACATAGATGTATGTTTATTACGAAATCTGCTGCACATAACAGGCTAAGTTAGGCTGGGCAGTGTAGTTTACCGTTGAATAATAGTTTTCTAGAAAGAAACAAGTACTTCATTATAAAGGCTCCCTATATCGACACAAGATTTTCATGGGGGTCTTTCTCTCCCTCCGATCTATAAAACAGGAAGAAATTCCTGTCAACAGAAAGTGTTTCATCCGGTCGATTGGAGGGGAACTAAGGGATCGAGAGGGACAGATTCATGGATAAATAATGCATTTTCCCTGCTCTTTGTTATGATTACTCCAGTTACCATTGGATCTATTGCTTTATATGTAACTCGATCTGAATTCAACTCAACTGCTGCTACTAACTAAATCTCAACTAACTGCTTAATTTAACTAGCTGATTTCACGAAGCTTCCAGAAACGTGTCAGTTAATACCATTCGTTTCCTCAGAAATTTGCAAATGCCAAAGACACAGCAAGGAGACGCATGGAGCCAGACATGAATTTAAGCTTTATTTATACTGGATCGAGACATCGAAGATGGCGGAAGCATCTAAAAGGAGTACTAAGCGTCTAGTACATGATTATATTGAACGAGAAAAATAGCAGCCCAATTTATCGTCGGGCAAGCTAAGAGCATTTAAAATACCGATTACTAGCAGACGACTAAGTCGTCTCACGCATTGAAAGATATCTAGAAGAGTCACAGGACGCATGCACTGTATATTAGCTAAATTAAAGCTTTGCATCCTTTTTTTCTACGAAATTTCCACGAATATTGACTAGATAAGACAACATCTTAACTTAGCATGCGCGCGCAGGGATGTCGTTCTTAGTGCCTGCGCTTGCTCAGTAGTATACACTCATTTTTTTTTTAAAGAATGTTGTTTTTCCGGCCGAGGCTGAATATTCTCGTGAATATTCTTAGATTAAAGCGATGGCATTTCTGTTTTCTACTGTATTTGGTGTCTAGATGGTGCTAAAGTAATTTTGGAGCCAGCCCGCAGGCATTTAAGCCTAATATTACACACGTAACTTCTTGCAGAAACGTTATTAGTATCGAACATATGGCTAGTGCTGTTTTTGTTGTTTTTTGGCTAGTTTTGGCGTTTAGAGACAGGAAGAATTTTATATGGCTTAGTTAAAACATATAATTGTATTGTATTCACAAATTTCCAACAACCGCAGTTCAGATATGAATTATTTCATATATACTTCACACAAAATTATATTCTTTTCCAAATCTCTGCTTTGAGATTATTCTTAAAATATTCTTGAAATTTCCCAAATTTCAGCTTCGATATTCTGATAAAATATATTCTTATAAAAATGAAAGAGTGTAATGATAATATATCTAGCCAGGAAACTCCACTCACCGCAGTGGTTTCAAGACACTCCTCTGTAACAGACCTGGTGAAACCTGGCCTTGTGTGTTATTGTGGCCTTAAGTGAAATTTTGACATCACTATTCAATTTTATTTCTCCCTGATATAGAATTTGGTTTCTCGGGTGAGCCGTGTTCCCTAGCAAGAAAACGTCACGAGTTTGGAATTCCGTTCTTGTTTCTTTAGTTATAAATGACCATCAATTTACCGAACATTTTTTGACTGAAATTGTCGCCTTGGGGCACTAGCTAGAAATGGCGTTTCAGAACGTCAAGATTTCGAAGTTTTCTTCGGGGATGCTTAAAGACTGCCCTATGTAACTGCCTCGCCTTCGCCGCCCGGACACTCCATCTCAATAAATTTATCTCGCATCAGTTTCATACTCAAAACGTTGCGCAGTCTGTAAAGACTGTAACTGTGATCATGGAAATTCTGATAATGGACAAAGACTTTATTTAGAGGGCTTTGGAGAATATTGCTTAAATGGCTTTGACTGGTGGTAAGCAACTAATATAAAATCATGGATATGAGTTGCTTCAGTTGATTTGCTTTCAAAATTTAATGCATTACGTTTCTTGCCATATATATCAAACATTATATGAAAAACTGTGTCACACAGTTTTGCAGATATTGGACATACATGATTAAAATTATATAAATCACTGGCTTCGCTGTTACTGTCCTGGTGAAGAATTGGACCAACCTGGTGGGTTTTTTTGTCTTCCCTCATAGAGTTTTTGTTAAAAACCTAGTCAACAACCAGGTTTTACTAGGTCTGTTACAGAGCGGAGGGGCGTGTTTTCAGGGTATTCCTGGAATGAATTAATTACAATTTCTAAAAGGTTTCTTCGATAAATATTTGTAAATCACCCGCTGGGTAGTAAATCACGTCTGTAAATTGAAAGACGAGATAGAATTTAAAACTTGAAATTAAAAATGAGCCGGCAAGTCTCTTCAAAATTCTTAAAACTGGCCTCAATTTAGTCGGCTAGTGAAAAAACTCGAAAAGACTTCGACAATCGGGTAAAGAAAAAACGTGGTCAACTGTTGAGTTTATTTTCAAATTAGAAAAAAAAATGTCTTTAGAACACCTAATTAATTCCAACACAATCTCCGGGACGTTAAAACGTGCGCTCGACCATCTTTAAGTCTTCGTCTTTTTCGTTTACTGTAAGGGAAGTTTCGTGCAACGGCGCAATTTTTTCTCATCAAAGCTAAAATGTCATCAGTTTGTTTGCAAAACAATTAGGGTCGAGTGCACATGTAGTAATTTATTAACATTGTTTTTTTATCTTTAAGTTTATATAACTCTTAGCCGGTAGGCTCAGTTGGGTCGTGTTTCGCACCAGTTTGAAAATGTCGTGTCCACGATATCGTCTTTAACAAAGCGATGGGTTGGATTCGAGCGATTGCTTTCTCGATAGTTATTCTTCAATTGTAAGTACACTATTCTTTGATACTCTGCCAGTCTATAATCTAGACCTAAGTGTAATAATTTCTAAAAATTTACCAAGGAATTATTTAATCTGTACTCAGTTACTGAAAAAATATAGATTAGTCAGGGTATCCGAAACGGTACCAAAATGGGGAAGTACTGTATATAATGTATGTTCTAGGGGTATTTTATGTAATAATAATAATAATAGTTAGGTTTGAAAATTCAGTTAAAAAGGCTTTCTGGTTTGTAACAATTTTAACTGGCTACGCCTCCTGGCAAGGTTGTCTTCGGAATCATACGAAGACTAACCGTTCAAACGTTTGCCAATTTTCTAATATAAGGAAATGTAGAAGATTCTTAGCGAAGTTTGAAAGCCAGCAAAAAGTTACAAAGAAAATTCGAGAAAAAACGTAAAGATTTCAGCGAGGTTTAGACCTGTTAGTTTCCAGTCGATACGATACGCTGCCAACTAAACCATTAAACATACTTTTTTTAGGAACATGTAATTTTCACGTACACAATATAAACCTATTTTAACCCATTTAAAGTTCGTTTACAACGTTGAAAATCACTTTACTTCAGTTGGCTCCCACTTTCGATCCAAAAGGAAGTTTCCCTTTATTGTTCGTTCGTATATATTATTCATTGATTTATAAATGAGTGTTACCTGTCTTTAGTGTTGTGTAAGTAAGAACTGGGAATATCGATGGAATGGGACGATTTTACGTTATCAGCTCCTTTGGTGAATGAACACGGTCAATAAGGGAAGAGTACAACGTTGTTATAGACTCGTTTGATACGAAATAAGACAATTGTTTCATAAGAGAAGGTACCTTGTATAAAACAGGTCGTACCTTTGCAAGTTTGT